TTGCGCTTACGCAAAATTTGTATGTCGCCTCACGTTTGCGCAGGCCGACGGTTCATCCAGCACAGCCGGAAGTCGCATTTCGCCTCACGTTTGAGCACTCGACACGCTAGATTTTTAAGGGTTCATCCAGCACAGACGAAACTCTCACTTTGCCTCACGTTTGAGAACTCGACGCGCGCGACCTCGGCAGAGGGTTGCCTCCAGCCAAACCAGAACTTGCAGGCCTACGTTTGAGCACTCGACACACACGATCAGGCCCCGCCTAAGAAAGAGATGTGTCACGCATGCGCCAACAAACATGTTATATCATGTATACCTGTTACTAAACCCCTTCCAGAATCAAACACCCTAGGGTGTCAAATCCGCTACTGATTTGTAAAGGTGTTTTTTGCAAAATCAGAGTCTGTGGGGTTTGAATTTGTAAAGGTCTTGCGTTTGGATGAACTCAGAGTGGGTGCCATGACTTTGTGGACGCGAATCATGGATTTTTTGGTGGTGTGCTTTTAACCTTTTTCTGGGCTGGATGCTTTGATTCTGTGCAGACAGAGGAAAGGTGTCTCGATTTTGTACATGATGCTGGATACTCAAACATCTCAATGACATTCACTGAACTGGACTGACATGAGAGACCATGAGAATATATCAGACACGTTTCAGATCAGGATATTCATGCAGATTGAAGGGAGTTTCTTTTTTTGCATTCTGAACCCTGTGGGTCTTGATTTAGTGTTTTGAAGGGTGGGGTGCAAGAACTTGTAAAGCTAAAATGCATGCACATTTGTGCCCAGGGTCTTGGATTTTGTAACGAACGATTCTGTTCTCGATACGGCTGAGTAATTGATTCTGTAAAGATTTATAAGAACAGTTTTCTCTACCACAGGCTGGGGGCCTTGAATTTGTCATTCCAGGATCAGGCCCCCCCAGCGGTAAACCCGGTCATCTTAAATGTAAAATGCTGGGAGCTTTTTTTAAGACATGATGTTTCTCTTTTCTGTTTGTCTGCCGGTTGTAAGATTGGGTCCAAGCAAAGTAGGTTCCGTTCATTTTCCGTTCATGTCAGTGGTCGAACGCGCGCGGAGCGCCTGTGCAGCTCTTCAGTTGTTTTTGACGGCAGCGCTTGAGGAAGGTGGTTTCCCAGGATCAGTCTCAGCTGCACAGAAGGCAAAGGATTGCATCGAAGCTGATTTTGATCTGGGTTGTACATCACAGAAGCATAAACGGATTGAAGTTCGAAAGTTACAGAGGAAAGCTTCATATTTGCGTGGGCGGGTGTGTTGTTTGAAGAAGCAGCTGCTGGCCGAGAAGAAGAGCAAGCTTGGAGGCCGGTTGGAAAAGATTTGGCTCATCAGAGCTGGGTTGAGTGATCCAAACGTTTCCGTTCGCAAGATGGAGGAATTTCTGCAATCATGTTCTGTGGAGCAGAGTCAGACTGTGTCACACTCCACAGTTTCTGCTGCCCGTGACTGTTTTGCAGAACTGGTAAAGCAGCAGGCTAGATCTGAGCTTTCTGGTGAGGTGGCGTCCCAGAAGCCACGGGTTGTCTTCGTGTCACACATCCATGACGAAGCCTTGATGCGCTTGAGGTCACACGTGGAGGGGCTGCCTAACAGGGTGCACAGGGGGAGATATTCAAAGATTCAAAATAACATTGTGCAAATCAGCTTCAAGGATTATTCTTGTGAGTATTACCAAGAACTGCAGGCCTTGCAAGACAAAACGGCTAGAACCATAGCCTTGGCTCTGCTGAGTGTTGTGAGAGAAGTGTTTGCTACTCTGGTTTCCGCGTTGGAGGAGGCTAGACCACCAATGCGTGTGTTGCACCTGTTGTGCGGCGACGCTATTGCAAGCAATGCAGCTGCAGCCAAGCGGCTATGGGATGTCTTCCGGCGCGAAGCCCGCGCTGGACCGTCGGCTTCTGACATGGGTGCGCTCGGCTCACCAAGCAAATTTGACTGTGCATGTGGCCATTGTTGGATTCCTCATGAAGAGCCCGCAACATGGTGATACCATTGTTGCAGCATGCAGCAGGCTCTTCAAGCATTTACTTCCTTCATACACAGAGCATTTCTGCCAAAGCTTGCTTGCTTACCTAGAGGAGAACATGCAGCTGCAAGTTGGTGAGCCGTCAAAGACCCGGCATGAGTTGCAGTCGCTCTATGGTAAAGAAGTATTGCCTGACGATGTTTTAGCAATTTTCAACCAGGATTTGGAGTCTCGAGTGCACATGGGTGATGGGAGCAAAAACCTGGAAGAGATTTTGCAGGTGGCCTTCGCAACCTTGACTAAGCACTTGTTCCTTGTGGAGGAGCGTCCAGTTGTGACACGATTCTGGCTGTTTACAACTTGCGTTTTTGCTCTCTTGACCATGAAGCTGCTTAAGCTACCTGAGCTACCTTGCTGACGCTTAAGCTACCTGGCGGGGCGAAGGAAGATAGTCTTTGAGAAGGTTTTGGTTTTTCGAACAATTTTTTTAAACGTAACTTTGGTTACTAGACTAGTCTGTGAGATGCCGTAAATCACATGTCAGACTTGTCAGGCCTCCGGGCAGAGTCCTGCTGCGGTTGCTGATGCAGCCTCGCGCCTTTTGAAAAGGCAAGCCTCCGACAGCGCGAAGACAGAGCAGGAGTGTGCAGAGGAAATCGCTCAGCAGATGAAGGTTGCGTTTGATGCCAACAACTTTCATGCCACTGATGAGCTTGCTCCGCAGAGTGCCAGCTTCTGGTTCAAAGTGTATGCCCGCCACCCTGAAGCACTTTCGCTCTTGGAAGAAAGACCATGCTCATGAACAAGTCTCCAAGTTGATTGAGTCCCTGGACCCGCATAGCTCTCTTTGCATCAAGTTCGCAGTCAAAACTCTGCTGACGCATGAAAGCTTCCACCACTTGAAGCCCTTTTGTGAAAGCATGAAAGAGCTGCACCAAGAGATTCCCGGCTTTTTGCCACCCTTGGCAGAAGCATTGATGACCATGGGTGGCTCCACCCTTGAAGAGATCGCAGCTTCAGAGTGGGACTTCTTGGATTTAGCGCAAAAGACATACTTGTACAAGTCAGCTCTGTACCAGCAGTTTGTGCGCTGGCGAGCCGAGGAAAAAATCCACCAACACATGTCTCTGCAGCAGTCCGATGAAGAACGTTGCGCCTTTGCTCGGAAGATGCTGTGTGGCCCACTTTCGGAGGAGCAGCAAAAGAACTTGCAGTTTGTCCAGGGCTTCTTTGGCCCTTTGAACACGGAAGAGAAGATTCGCTTCTTGTTTGGTACACCCGAAGAGCACTTTGAACACCTCCGCGGCTGGGCACCAAACCATGACTTGCTGAAGCTGAAGATTTTTGCTTCGAAAGGCCACGACTTCTTGGCCGAAGACCCCCAAAAGTTCTTGGAGAGTGCCATTGTCATGTGCCAGTCGTTTGAGCTGCCAGCTTTGGTGGTGCACCCTGTGGCGAAGAGCCTCCTTGTTTTGCTCTTCAATTCGCTGAAGGTGGCAGGCGATTCTCGCGTGCTGAAGCCCTTGGCGCATGGCCTCTTCCTCGAGCTCTCCACCTTGAAGCTTTCTTTGCCCTCGCACTCGCTGTCCTTGGATCCCAAAGCCTTTGCCACTGAAGACCTTCAAGCCTCTTGGCGTAACAGCTGCAGTTTTGTTTCATACCCTAGGTGCTTTGCTGGTGTTAGTTTGCTGCATTTCCGTTTATGGGGCCACATGTTGCATGCAACTCAGTTGAGGATGCTTTGCGAACGATGGCACGCTTTGCAGGCACCTCCCTCTCGAAAGCCACAGGCCCATCGACCGACATCCTTCAGAAAGCCAAGAGCGATTTCGAGGCTCGCCAAGCTCAGCATCCGGACCAGAAGCCCAAGACCGAAGTCACTGGTGATTCTGCCGCCGAAGGAAAAACTTTTCAGATTGGTGACATAGTCATTACAGAGTCGTCCAAGCACAGGAGCAGCTACAACACAACCAACAAGAAGCAAAGATCATCACCTTGTTGTCTCAGAAGGTGCGTGTTGAGATGTTGACAGGGGACAGGAAGTTTGAAAGAAGGATTTTGCTTACAACAAGCTAAAGTTGAAAGCGGCATCCAGTGTCAAGCGGGAGGCTGAGCCGGTGGCCCCAGAGGGGCCACCGGAGCCACCTGCGAAGGCTCCGAAATCGAGCCGCGCTGAAGAGTTGTTTGGCAACACCGACATGCCGTGACCTTGCGATCCTAGAGGTGAAACTGTTGCGGCGGATCTTTTTGGGATGGGAGGGGTGATGGGCGGTGCTACTTTGAAGGAATCCACTAATGAACCACTAATATCCACTAATCCCTTTATGACCGAACCAAAATAGGCTCCCAAGAAAAGACACCTAATTCATCTACCAATATTATCATGTTATTCTCTTTGTTAACATATGTTTACTTTTTGCATAAAGTGTTTACTGAAGCAAGACCCCAGCCAAAGTCATACTTGACTTTGCATATATGATTGCGCTTAACCATCTAAGCAAGATCCCATCGAAAGTTATCCAATCAAGATCTCAGCACCAAAACAATTCACCTAAGCAAGACCCCAACACCAAAGCAAGATCCCAACACCGCAGCAATGCTAACGTAGCAGCAGCTCTACACCACACCTGCAAACAGCAGATGTACTTGTAGCATACCTACTGGACCTACTGTAGCACATATCCAACTGCAACGATATGCGTCGCAAATGTACCACCACCTCCATACAGTAGCAGCAGGTCTATATAACAGATCACACGTGCAAGGTGCAGATGCACTTGTAGCACACACAAATGCAGGTGTATAAATCTCAAATGTATTGATGCAGATGTGTTACGCAAAAGGTTTCTATAGGAAGAACCCTTCGCAACGTTCCCGGGAATAAAGGTCAATAAAAAACACACACACACACACATTTTGTCAAGATCTTTGGAAGATTTGGACCGAATCAGTTGGGATGTTTGTTCTAGGCGGTGGTGCTGGTGATGTTGGCCGGACCCCCCCAAAATTCTTTGGAGGACCGTCGCGATGGAGGCCGTGATGGAGGCCGCGAAGGAGGCCGCGAAGGAGGCCGCGAAGGAGGCCGTGAAGGAGGCCATTGGGACGTTCTGGTCACGGTGAAGATGCTGGGTTTGTATTGCTGCGCGGTGATTGAGCCACTTGTTTTGCTGCAGGTGGACGTCGACAAGGCGGTGCAGAAAACATGGACCCTTGGCAAGCCTCAAACTTTAGAACTGTTTATGTGCAGTCAAAGCCTTTTGTTGCACAATTTGTTGCATATTACTTGTAAACGAGTTTGGCGTCAAATTATTCACGGCAATTCTTTGCTGCTGCGTGAAATCGCGCACCTTGCCACTCACTCTTGTGATGACCCAAGGACTGCTATAACTGTGGTCAATTGGGCCACAGCTCACGGGATTGCCCTGAACCACGCAAGGACCTCTCATTCTGCTTGATTGTAAGGTTGCACATGGCAATAAACAGCATGAAGTGCTTGGTGCTCACAACGCCTCACAGTCCTCACACTCGTAGAGGTTGACCATGACTGTTGCCCTCGTCCAGTGCCAGGTGCTGAACATTTGCCGCTTGCAGCTCACTGATGCTCAGACGCTCTCCTTAGGAGACGCCATGGCAGGGAAGCAGCCAAAAGAGTTCTCAAAGTCCAAGAAAGGCAAGTCCAGCAAAGCGCGGGCAGCCAAGGTAGCAACAGTCGCTACAGTCGAGAAGCAGGTTGAAGATTTGGAACCTCGACCACCGCTTCTAACGGAAGACTTGGTGGAAGTTATTGTGTACACCACGTCCATGAGAGAGATTTGTAGATTGAGAGCTTACAGAGGCTGGAGGCTTTGCGACTTGAAGGGTGGCATATGGGCAGAGACTGGAATAGAGCCCATTGCCCAAAAAACTTTGGGTCGGCAACAAAGAGACACCAGAAAAGACTCTTCTAGAGGAAGTCTTCCCTCCCTCGGTTGAGGGTGGTGCTGTGGTCTTGCACCGGAGGACACCTGAACAGGCCGAGTGGTTGGCCAAATGCCGGGAGTACGGTTTGCAGCTTGAGTTTGCCCCTGCAGCCGTGAAGGCCGATTTTGAGGTGGTCATGGCTGCAGTCATGAAGAATCCGAAAGCCATCCAGTTTGCAGCCCCAGAGCTGAAAAAAAACAAAGAGGTGATGTTGGTTGCAATCAAAAAAGATATTGATTGTGCAGACTTCTTGGACCCAGCTGCTTGGTCCAACCGTGACTTTGTCATCGAAGCCGTTCGCGTGGACTGGCAGCTCTTGCGCATGGCATGCGAGGAATTCTTGAGAGACCCCGAAATCGTCCTTGCAGCCATTGAGAGCAATTGGGATTCCTGGATTGACTTCATTCGACGTCACATTAAGAAACCAACGGCACCAATGTGATCCAATGTGCGTCCATACTAACTAGTAGCTTATGTAAGCTACTAGCTACCTCTTCTACTAGCTACCTAGCCTCCTAGCGGCCTCCCCCCTTTTAAAGGAATAATAATTAATGATAAGTAATGTGTGTTGTTGTTCAAATTTTTAGCTTTGTTTTTCGCCATCTGAGGACGCTGTCAGCGTGGCAGCACCTGAGGCTTGGGAGTACATGGCAGTGCCCCGGGCAGCGGCCAAAACTGGCGGTTGGACGGTGCACAATGTGGCACCCCATGAGCTTCAAGCCAGGTGGGCAACAAGGGCATTCGGCATTATATTATATACTACTACTAGCCTACTAGCTAGTGTATTTTTCAATTATGTTCAACTTTGTGGGTTTTGTGTTCTTCATGTGAAGTTCCAGGAATTTCCGTGTGCAACATTTTGCAACAAACCATTAAGATGAGATTGTACAGCAACATGCACGCCATCAACATGCACGAACAAACGCACATTAATTAATATCGCAACTCCAGAGCGATGTATAGTAGGCTGACTATGACTAGGACTCATGAATTGGAAAACACAAGGGGTCCTCCACACAAAATAACACCGTCCGGATGTGTTTGGTCTGGAATATTTTGGAATGTCGATTAACGTAGATGTCTTGGGCATCCTCCCATGCTTCTCTATTGCTTTTGGGTGGCCTTTGAGAATGGTGCACACCCACATGATCAATCCCAGGTTTGTGTGCGTGCGTGTCAGGAATTGGTTTCATAATTTTTCTTAGCCAGATCTGAGCACTTGACTTGAACCCAAAAGAGAAGCATAGGCACTTGGGAAGGCAAGCTGAGTACTGACTAAAACGCAATGATCAACACAATTCATATTTTCATATTTATCAATGCTGCCTTAACTTTGACATGTTGGAACTCGTTCCTATTTTTTGCAATAGGCTTCGGGCAGACAAAGAATTTGCACTCCATTGTGTCCGCCATGACTGGCGTAACTTGGAGAAGATCGCTGAGAATCTGATGGCAGACTTTGATATTGCATTGGCTGCTGTTCGGCAAGACTGGCGTGCTTTGCGCTGGATTCACAAAGACCTTCGGGCCAATGAAGACATCGTAGCCATAGTGGTGGAGCACAATTTTATGTGCATCACGAAGTCCATGGAGGAGCTGCCAATCGAGCAACCGATCGTACTCAGGATCGTGAAACAAAACTGGGAGGTTTTTGCCCATTTGAGTGAGGCTCTAAGATCTGACAAGGAAATCGCACACGCAGCAATTGCTCAGAACTGGCGTGCTTTGGAGTATGCTGGGGAGGCTGGAAAGAAGGATCCCGAGATTGTCATGGAAGCCTGCAAGCAAGATCCCCGCGCAGTTCTCAAAGCACCATCGCAGCTAAATCACAAAGGTGTCATGCGCATCGTTCTGTCTAAGGAAGGGATGCTTTTGGAACAGGCAGGCGAGGAAGTCAAAGATGATGCAAAGCTGGTACAACTCGCCGTAGCTGACAATTGGCATGCCCTACAATTTGCCTCTGAAAACGTCCGGGGAATGAAGGAGGGCTCCCGCACTTCGGGTCCATGTGTGCTTTATGATAAGTATAACAATAACATACAATAACTATATTATGATTATTTATTTACCAGGCTACCGCCTGCAGCCGCCGACCCCCAAGGGATAGAACCTTAGCGCTAGCCTTGCTCTATGTTAGCCTTAGCCTTAAGCCTTGGCCTTAGCCTTAAGAGTGCAGACCCAACCCAGCACCACCAAAGCAGGTACCCAAAATGTCGACTTTTTGGGTACCTCCCAGATTTACCATCGGACGTCAGCTCTTGCATGAACCCCGAGCATTGCCCAAGAATTTAGACCCAACCCTTCACCACCAAAGCAGGTACCCAAAAAGTCGACTTTTTGGGTACCTCCCAGGTTTACCAATTTAGACCCAACCCAGCACCACCAAAGCAGGTACCCAAAAAGACAAAGCCTAGAGCATTCAACAGAAAGCGTGACAAAATCTACGAAAACGCAAGGGCATTGGCCGGGACCATGCCGCGACCAGCCCGGGATTCGAGCTCAGGACCATTTTGGACCGTGCTTATTTTCCCGCGCGGGTCGAGAGGGTGCCCCAAGATGTAAATCAATTGGGATGGCAGATTCTTGGACAATCCAGGTCGCTTTCAGGGCGAGTTTTTCGTAACTGCAACAAGGGTCCGGAGGGGTAGGGGAGGTAAGGTCTAGGTCTAGGTCTAAGGCTAAGGACTAGGTCTAAGGTCTAAGGCTAAGGCTAAGGCTTAAGGCTAAGGCTAACATCGACAGTCACGCCTCACCCCACGGTGTGGGGTCGGCGGATTTGTGTATGTAGTTATGACTTGTATTTATTATATATATATATAATGTTTGTCATTGTCGTTCTCATTTTGCGCACACTTGGACGACATCGGAACTGCTCTTGAATAACAAGCTTGATCGCACCCCTGGTAGCCGCCTCTTCAGGACGTTGTCTTGCCGGCATTTAAGCAAGACCCCTCTTTGACAGTCATGGACTGGACTGCTCCAAGTTTGCGTCGTGATCCAGTGGCCATGTTGGAGTTCTTGCGCCATGACAAGAACATGTTCCCCTGGGTGGACGATGAGTTGATGATTCACGAACGCTTCATCTACAATGTCGCGCATGATGCCAAGCTTGGTCGGAAGATCATTCTCCAGATGGTGAAACGCAACTGGCATTGCTTCGAGCTAGTGCCTGACTTCATGAAAGCAGATCCTGAGATCATCCTTACCGCAGCGCAACAAGATTGGCATGCCATCGAAGTTGCGGAGGATTTCTACGACTGCTGGATGCATCCAAAGATCGTGCTGGCAGCAGTTTCGCAGGACTACAATCTGATTCGCAATGTTGACACAGTCATGTGGCTGCGGCGGCACGAGCACTATTGCATACTGTGGTGATCTGTGGTGTAGTGAATGTAGTGGTGGGGTCGTGCCACACTGATTACCTGCACAGAAAGTTGTGCACCCGGTTTGGGGGATGAGTAACTATGTATATAATTTTTTGCTCGGTTCGCTGGGCTCGTCAAGGTGGGAGAATTTGGAGATTGTGGTGGCTGCTGTCAGCCAAAACTACCAAATCCTCGATGAGGCTCCAGACTTCTATATTCGAAGGCTGGAGTTCTGGGGGTTTGCTGTGAGATTCTCAGATGAGACACCGCTCACACGCTGCACCCAGAGACACACACACACACTATCATACTGTATATACAGTAAGTGTCTAGAGATTTACACACGAGGCACGATTTCGAGCTGCGTTTCTGGATATTGGAGATGTATATACATGAGATGAGGAGTGGGATGAGGTCAATTCAATGACAATTCATCGAAGGTGTACTGTTAGAAAGTGATGACTTGGATTAACTGGCTAGCTTGGTTAGAGATTTGGTGCCCAAACATAGATCAAGTGCCGTGACATCAGTTGCAAAGCTGCAAAGCCTAAAGAAGGATACCCGGATACTCCTGCTGTTTGACGTGAACATGTAACATGCCGAGTCGAGTTAAGAACAATTTAAGACCACAGCTCATATACCACAAAACCATTGCTGATAGCTGTTTCAAGACTTGGGGTAGTGAAGGCACGGAACGGTTGCTTTTTAGGAGGGTTTCCATTCAAGGGGGCCCACAAAAGGACCACATATGAATTCAACTTGGAACTATGAACTATGATGGCAATGGGTTCGCATGGTTTCTCTTGGGATCAAGGATGGGTCAAGCATCTTCATCAGTTTGATCTGGTAACGTGTTGCCTTTTTCCTTTTAAACGCCCTGGCTGCCCTGGCCATTTTTTCACCTTGCCTGCGGGTCTTGCCCGTGTCTCGTGGAAGGCTATGGTCTGAAGAGGATGTTGTTTGGGCAGTGATTGTGCAGGCTGGCGCAGGGAAGATAGGTTGAAGAGGATACGGGACACACAACTAGAGATTAGAGGGATTACACCTGCGTGGTGAGGTTGAAAGTCTAGCACATTGACCTGAGCGCAGTCCCCACATGGTCATGACTTATTTTGAAGATGATATCAAGCTCATTGATAAACCAGCAAAGGTTCCTTGCAACTATGAAGGTTGATTCGTTGCAGAATGTATCTAGATAGTTGCTTCACAAACACAACTCACAGCTATATAACAAATCATTGCTTTCTTGTGCAGGAACCTGCAATGATCAAGAAGGCAGCTAAACCCCTCTGGGGCGAGAGGCAGCTTGTGCTGAAGGCATCGGTGCAATTGACTTTCAGACGCATCATCCCTCACTTGATACACACTAAGTATGAGACCAGCCTCGCTTGGCATTCAGTTTCTTGATCCTTCTTTATCCTTCTCAAGGATGCGAGCGAAGGTTGTTGCGGTTATGTGTATATGCATGTGCACATATCGGTGTTTGACGTTCTTGTTCCTACTGAACGGGTTGAGTGTTCTTTGGTCCTTTATCTATTGCTGCTTGCCCATGTCTAACGCATGAACTCATGACAACAAGGAGGTTCTGGTTTTACAAATTCCCAGACCTGTCAAATGCCCTGAACAGGACTCTAACCGATGCTTCATTCCCTCCAAGACTTTTGTATGAAAGACATCGATGCCCAACAAACTGTTGCTGTATGTATGACCTTGTATGACCAAAGTGCATGCAAGTGCCTCTGAAAATTCTGAAAGCCCGCAGAGTAGCCTTGCCATCGCTTGTACAGGCATGCCAAGGAGATTGGACGATCATGGACAGATGTCCAAAGGAACTAGAACGGATCTACTGGAAAGACAAGGACTTTGTCATCGCGGCGCTGTCTCAGTCCATCGATGCTTTGAGCCCTGGCTTCCTTGGAGAAACAGGAAGGTGGTACAAAAGCTTCTTGTGAGCTGGAGTGCTTTGGGGGTGTGCCGTGCTGAGGAAAAAGGTTCCAGAGTCCTACTGGGAGGACAAGGAAGTGATGCGTGTAGCAGTGAAGACCGACTACAAGGTGCCATAGCTGTGGATTTTGACAACGTTTTTTTTCCTTGGATTGGTTGCAGATTTTGTTGGAATGATTTGTGCTTCGGTGAGATTATGAGGCAGATCAACTACTGCAATTATATGTGCACAATCAGCTCACTTGCATGCATCAGATTTCTGTCAAGCTTCGTGCTGGATGTTTGCTCAGGTGATCTACAAGTGCTCGAACTGGGCACAGAAGACATTGTGGGAGGACAACTAAACAGTGTTCAAATCATTCCATAAAATCCTCAAACGTCTTCAATCAGAGCTTGGATTGTTTGGATCAAGATTTTGCCATTTTGGACACCTAGTTTCCAAGCCTGGTTAAGTGCCCACACTGCGAAGGACCGTGATATCGTGCTCACTGCTGTGCAGCAGAACGGCCTAGTGCTTCCTGAGGCAGATGAAGATTTCATTTTCGATAAGGAGGTCTTGCATGCGGCTGTGAGGCAGAACTGGAAAGTGCACCTTGGCCATGTTTTTTTCCTTTTTTTTATATTACTCACCTCAACAGGTCCTAAAGAGACATATTGGAAAATATTGGATCTGTTTTGCACCTTGGTCTCCGGCGTTTAGGGGAAGTTGCCGTTGGGCGTCTCTGTGAGACGACTCCGGGATGAGTCATGCCCAGAGAGAGAGAGAGGGGTCCTAAAGACACATGCTGTCCTTTCGGGTGTTCACACATCTTGACTACAAACTCCTTATAGACATCATATTCACAAGGTATGTCGTAGTGACTTAGTGTTGGTTCAGGTTTTGCGGGTCCAATTCCGGTTTCTTGAAACCAGGATGGACAACCTGCCCAAAGTTCACAAGGAGGTGGCCTGGAATGATGAAATTTGTGCACGATGTGCCATTTTTGGAGGCTCTGAAGCTGCAAAGGCAGATCTTGAGAACTATGCCAAAGCAGGGAAGCGCCTCAAATCAAACAAAGATTTCACGATTGAAGTTCTGGTGCAAAACGGGAAGCTTCTGGAATTCGCTGATCCAAGTTTAAGGGACGATGAGGATGTCGTTCGGGCAGCTTTGCAACAAGATGGCTTATCCATTAAGTTCGCATCTGAACGCTTGCGGGGTGATTATGGCATGGCACGACTGGCCGTCGAGCGAGATCCAGGTGCTGTGATGTTTGTTGATGACAGGCTTCGAAAGGGAGGATCGAGCAGCCACTTGCTGGTAGACCCTCCTGAAGGCTTTGACGAATAGCGCTGAAGAGTAGCCATGTCAGGCGAGCTCGCGGCGAGATCGCGCTGCGGAGTGCAAAGTTCCTCCAGCAACCTCCAAGCCAAGCCACGTGCGTGGGCCTTTTTTGGACGAAGTTTGCAATTGCATGCCCGTCGAAGATGAAGCATGCCACATGTAGGATGTGCACGTATTTGCACCTTGGAGACTCTTGCAGCGTCAAAATGTGTCAAAGACGGCAATTAAGGGCAAATGGGATTACTGTAGTTCTGGCATGTTCGGGCCAAGCGCAAGAACATGCAAGAACAAAACGGTCAATGTTGGGAGGTGCTTCTACAAGATCATGCAAGATCTCACTTGCTTGCCCTAGCTCTTGTTATAGACCCGCTTGTGAACTAGAAAGTCCAGCACCCTCATTGCCAAATCAAGTCCCTTGGAATAGGCATCTGTTGGGCAGACGAAAATACTGGCCATCCTTGAAACTTATACAAGTTGCACTTGCAGGAGAAAGGAAAGGGCCGTGGCAAAGGCTACAAAAACCGTGAAGAGCAGCAATGTCGAATGCCTTAGTCTTGAGCAGCAATGTCGAATGGGCTGGACACCTTTGCAGACATTGACATTTGCAGACACCGATCTTTTGACCACTTGATTTGTGCGATTCTACTTGGCATCGATTACGAAGGCGGTTCCACTGATTTAGCTGTGAAGCAGTGCATGCAACCACCTATGTCAGCTTTATATATATATATAATATATATATATATATGCGACATCATGTTTTGATGACAGCGTGTCAACCAGATTGCCAAACCAAACCCAGACACTGTTGAGCTAGGCTTCAACTGCAAGCAGTATGGCCATCGGTCGCGCGATTGCCCCGAACCTCCAGACGAGGCTGTTTGGCAGCTTGATTTACGGAAAGCAAAAGCTGTGCTTGGTCTTAGAGAGACCCTTTTGAGCGAATGGTGGATACTGGGTGGCCAGGAGCTTGTTCGCCAACGCTTAGCTGCCAAGGCAGAGAAGGACACACTCTTAAGGGTGGTGGGCAGGGGCTGCTTGTGGGTGGCTTTGACGACGCTCGACCTCCAAAGCAAGTCTAGAGTTGGCACCCGAAACAATGCTAGGGTCATAAAAACCTTTCATTGGAAAGAGCATGTTTTCAATCTACTGTATTTTAAAAAACAAGTCAAAAAAGTCAATCCCAAAAGTCAAAGTCAAAAACAAGTCAAATCAGAATGTTTCAGAAAGTCAAAAAAAAAGTCAATTTGCCCAGATTCGACTTTTTTTGATTTGCTTTTTTTGACTTTTCGAGTGGATGACTTTTCTTGACTGGTTTTTGTTTTATATTTTTTCGATTTGTTTTTTGAATTTGACATTTTTTTTGCATTTTGTTTTCGACATTTTTTGATTTTTTGTTTGACTTGTTTTTTGACTTTTTCGATCTGTGGTCTATGGTTGACTTGTTGTTTATTTTTGACTTTTCAATTTGACTTTTTTGACTTTGACTTTTCCAGTTGGCTTTTTGTTGACTTTTTTTCGATTTTTTTTTTAATCAAGGATTCAGGCCTTAAAGCATATGAAAGTTCTTTTTGTTTTTCAACTAATGTTAGGGGTGACCTCACAGCAGCGGCAAAAGCATTGTATATATTATAATCCCACGGCTTCCCGCGTGCGTGCAGGAGCGACAGTCTCGTGGAGAGTAGTTGTGTGGCAGGCCAGGGTTTGCTTCCGCAAGTTGTTTTGGCATGTGTTGACTAGACTGCCTGGGCAGTAGGTCGGAAGACTCGAAGCAAGTTGCCAGCGGCAACTATGAGTGTGAGCGAGGGAGCCGAGGAAGCATGGATGGTATTCCGATGTCCAACTCATCACGGAAGAACAGAAAAGTGTCGCTATACACATTGAGTCGGCTAGAACAAAACATCCGAAGAAACATCAAACAAATCCAGCTTCCTGGGACGACATTTTGCACTAAGAGATCGTGCCCTGAGCTCCAAGTGTCCTTTGCAGTGGCCTCGTTCGAGGTATATTGCACTCCCGCAAAGCCCAAACAGCATCAAACGGCCATTCGGCGTAGATGTTCGGTATGTTGAACGTATTCTGTAAGTGGGAGCTGCGGTAGGTTTGGGAACGGTTTAGGGGAGGCTTGTTGGATTCATGTGGAGTCCCACCTTATATATACAAGGAACATAAAGGATGAGCTTTCTCACTGAGCTCAGAGATGCACGTTTGAGTTGATCTCGCGATTCTGCTGATTTGTCAGCGCAGCCTTCTTGGGCCCAGCTTCTTTGTCCCAAGGCTGATAGCTGACACTAGTAACAATGGAGAGTTCTGCGAGCGGGCAAATGGGCGCTGAATCCTGGATGAGAAGACACCAAGAGACGAGTGCATTTCTTCGTGTCCTGTATTTATGTTGACATAACCCAAAATGCACCTCTAGCGAAAATATCCTATGCCGAAGTTGCTTTTTGGACATTTATTGGTGCTTTGCTCGCAACATACGAGTTGCGAACGTCAGGTTGTCCAAGCAGCCTGCATTGTGTTTGGAAGCGTGTGTGCCAAATAGCTCTGTGCAACTCGAAAGGTGCGTGCGCCTCTGCGTGATGTCAGATTCGTCGCGAAGGAGCATTGGTGTGTGTTTTTGGTTGAAGAATGTTGAATATCACGAAAGCTAGCATGCTAGCTGAGTTCTTCTTTGCTTTAGCAATTGGTAGTGGAATGAGCTGCGTGCCTTAAAGCTTGATATATCACACTAAGGGGGGGGCCCTGGCCCCCACTCTAGCGTGATATATCACGCTAAGGACCCCCCCCCCGCGGTTCAACTCCCAGCTGCAGGCGTTTTGGCATTAGTGGAGGTGTTGTTACATGTTGGAAATTGTTGGTGTTTTGTTTGGTATTTTTGATTTTGGGGTGTGCATTCAAAACCAGGATGTGAAAGACATCATGCACTTGAATTTTGGATGATCCTGGGTAGCGGAAGCACACGTAATTATTGGAGAACCAAGATGACACACATGGGATTTTGCATGCGTTTTTGCAAAGCATCCACTGATTTAGTGTTTGTATTTAGGATTCATTGAGGAGCTTTGTCGGAAGCATGGTCAGCTTCGTCGGAAGCATGATCATTTGCTCGTTTTTTCTTGTGGATGCATCACGTAGCATTTCGGCTGCGCCTCGTCAGTTGATGAATCTTCATTACCTGAGAGCAAAGTTTGAATTTACTGTCTTGGACATGTGTGGTTTGGCAAAATTGTTGATTGTATCCATACCCGCCACATTTGCTACCGGCTATTACCCCAAGACACTATATTCCTTATACCTTTTACCAGTGTTTATCCTACACTACGGACGCCCTAGTGTATGTACAGTCCGTGTGATGTCAGAAATGCTCACCCCTCTTTCCGACCCAAGGCATACAAAAGCGGTGGGTAAATTTACCCTCCAGATTTACCATAACAGTAAACCAGCTATTTCATCTAGACACTCTTAGTGCTTGTATTTAGGATTCATTGACGAGCTTTGTCGAAAGCATGGTCAGCTTCGTCGGAAGCATGGTCATTTGCTCGTCTTCTTCTTGTGGATGCATCACATAACATTTTGCGCCTCGTCAGTTGATGAATCTTCAATACCTGAGAGTAAAGTGTTTGAATTTACTGTCTTGGACATGTGTGGTTTGGCAAAACTGTTGATTGTATCCATACCCACCAAATTTGCTACCGGCTATTTCTTGAAGACACTCTATTCCTTATACCTTTTACCAGTGCTTATCCTACACTATGGACGCTCTAATGTATGTACAATCCTTGTGGTGCAAGAAATGCTGACCCCTCTTTCCAACCCAAGGCATACGAAAGCGGGGGGTAAATTTACCCCCCAAATTTGCCATAACCATAAGCCGGCTATTGCCCCAAGACACTCTACTCCTTATACCTTTACCGTGTTTATCCTACACTACGGACGCCCTAGTGTATGTACAGTCCGTGTGATGTCAGAAATGCTCACCCCTCTTTCCTACCCAAGGCATACAAAAGCGGTAGGTAATCACGAAAGCTAGCATGCTAGCTGAGTTCTTCTTTGCTTTAGCAAATGGAAGTGGAATGAGCTGCGTGCCTTAAAGCTTGATCACGAAAGCTAGCATGCTAGCTGAGTTCTTCTTTGCTTTAGCAATTGGTAGTGGGATGAGCTGTGTGCCTTAAAGCTTGATATATCACGCTAACCCCCCCCTCCCCCGGTTCGACTCCCAGCTGCGCCGTGTAGCGGGGGTTGGTTGAACGCGTGAACGTGGTTGGTTGGGTGTAAACGGTGGCTTGATGTAAACGGTGCTGCTGCTGCTTGCTGCTGCTGTTTGCTGCTGCCGCTGGTTGCCGCTTTTGTAGCTGCTGCTTTGCTACTTGTTGCGGCTTGGTGCCGCTGCTGCTGTTGCTGACGACGCCGCTGCTGCTGCTGCTGCTTCTGCTGCTGCTTGCTGCTGCTGCTTGCTGCTGGTGATGGTGCTGATTGGTGCTGCGCTGCTGCTGCGTGGTGCTGCTGGCTGGCTGCCGGTTGGTGGTTGCTGCTGGCTGCTGACTGCTGGTGCTGCTGCTGCTGCTTGCTGCATAGGCCTTGTACTTCACTGCTACAAGTTCTTTACCCTATTTCTAGCCTAATGCATGCATAAGCGGGGGGTAAATTTACCCCCCAGATTTGCCATAACCATAAGCCGGCTATTTCCTCAAGACACTCTACTCCTTATACCTTTTACCAGTGCTTATCCTACACTACGGACGCCCTAGTGTATGCACAGTCTCTTTCCGGCACAAGGCATACATAAGGGGTGGGTAAATTTACCCCCCCAGAATTGCAATAACCATAAGCCGGCCATTTCCTCAAGACACTCTATTCCATATACCTTTTACCCGTTCTTCTCCTACACTACGGACGCCCTAGTGTATGTACAGTCCGTGTGATGTCAGAAATGCTTACCCCTTTTTCCGACTCAAGGCATACCAAAGCGGGGGGTAAATTTACTCCCCAGATTTGCCGATCACGTATCTTCGTGCCTGCCAACGAGTGCACCCGTGTTGTTCCAATGTACCCTTGCCAGTCGGCGATGTCACATTTACATTCTTTGGCGCAAAGTGTCTACGTAGCAACCTTTCTCCCAAAACATGTAATCACGACATGCTTTGCCGACTATGTAACTAGTACATCCGGTGCGATTCGGCTAGCTTTCGACCTCCTCCCCCTGGCCTCAAGTTTTTTCCCCACCTGCCAGGTGAGGGTTGTTAGATTTTATCACAGTTGTTCTTCCTCCGCCTCCGCCTCCTCGTCCTCCTCCTTCCTCCTTCTTCCTTGCTTCCTTCCTCGCCAATCTGCTTTGCCGATCTTGTCTGGCCAGCTCCGGATCGTAGTGTGCACCCCTGGACCTCAACCACAAGGATCCCCTCGCAGTGTGCACCCCTGGACCTCAACCGCAAGGATCCGATCGCAGT